CATGCTTACACATTTTTCGTCATTGACTAGTAAGCTTCAGTCGACTGACCAATGTTTTGTTTGGTCAATCGCCGACTGCACTTGGGATGCGTCTGTGCCCCAGATGGTGACATCATCCGCGCACATAGAAATCTCTATAGGGAGACGTTTAGGGAGATCAATAATATAGATCAGAAATAAGATGGGACCTAGTACGGAGCCCTGTGGGACTTCTATTGAGACTGGGGAGGGTGAAGAAACGGATGTGCCTATTCGAACCGCGAAGGAGCGATTCGACAGAAAACTAGTGAGCAGGGAAAGCAATCGGCCAGTGATGCCATGACTCTCTAGTTTGTACAGGAGAGGCTCTCTGTCGAAGGCATTGGCAAAGTCTATGAAGATAGCGTGCGAAATATGACCTTCGTCATAGGCACGGGTTAAGCTATCCATTAAGGTCAGCATATTGGAGATGCATGGCCTGTAGGAAGGTAGGAAGCCGCGTTGGGAAGCGTGTACGAAGCCGTTCTCAGTTAGATATCCTAGAATACGCCGTTTAATGAGGCGCTCGAAGATCTTACTAGGAATGCTGGTTAGGCTGATAAGCCTATAGCTAGTAGGCAAGTGTCTATTGCCTTTCTTATAAATAGGGATAACAGTTGCCCTCCTGCATTGTTGTGGAAGGGTTTCTGTGTCCAAACACATTTGAAAGAGATGGGCATATGTGGCAGCCAACACGTCCGCAGATTCTTTTAGTATACGGGGGTGGATTTCATCCGGACCCATGGAGCTGAAGGAGTTCACGCGTTTTAGTTGTTCTTCCACTTCTGAGACTGTTATGACAAAGTGATCTAACGGGGACCTGTAGGTTACGGGATGAAGATTAGGATGACTGGTTGGAGACGGGATGTTAAAAATTTGGTAGAAATTAGACCGGAACATTTCTACAACTTCTGCAGATGAAGTAGCTGGGGTACCCTTGGGTTTAGATGGGGCAAGGGCGAATAGAGTGTTTTGCGGGGTTCGTCGCATGAATGTGTACAAGACTGACCGGTTTACCCGTGCCCTAGCTAAAATGCCGTTTTGTTGGTTTCTCTGGAACTCTCGGATCCTTGCTTTGCACAAATTGCGAATGCGGATGAAGTCATTGGCATCTTCCATCATACCCGTCAATTTGTATCGAGCAAAGGACCGCGAACGTACTTCTAAAAGATGTCGAATAGCATGCGGCAAAGGGTGTCTGTTTGATGAAGACTTATGGACACGGGGCACCAGCAGATGGTCCACTGCGGGGATACACCGCTCTATTATGCTACTCAAGATGTTTACGTCACTTATCTGGTTGGTTTGTGGGGTATGGGCTTGGAGGAGATGCCTCAAGTTGTTGATGTTTGTCCTTTTAAAAGAACGAACCTCCCTAAGACACGGTGTAACGCATCTGGGCCAGCGGACCATTACAACGAAAGACAACACGGGATGATCACTTTTGCCCAAAGGGCAGTGCTGTTGGATTGTGTCTCTGAGGTTACTATCACCTGTTATGACAAGGTCTAGCAATGAGGGGGCTAGCCCGTTTCTGTATCTCGCTGGGATTTTGACGTGCTGAGACCATGACAGCTCTGTGACCAGGTTGACTAACAGCCTACCAAAGGTGTTGTCCGAGGCGTGGAGTCTGCGACAACCTATTACCGGAGCGTTGAAGTCTCCAGTTATCAGAAGATGCACATTGGGGCGTTTAGATCTTAAGCTTTTTGGCTGATCTATTAGGAGTTGTGATTCTAGCTCTCCACAGGAGTGTGAGCGGTAGACTACTCCTAGCACCAGTGTCTCAGAGTGGGACAGGGGAATTTGGAACCAAAGGCAGTCTATGAAGGGAGTGGGAGGGAGTGATAGAGTGATCGCTTGGGGGAGGTGGTCACTCGTGTAGAGGATCACACCACCTGCTCGACCTCTCACTGGGTCTCTTCGGATCAAGGAGTAACCTGAAAGGGATATTTCTCCATCACTGTTTTCCGGGGTTAACCAGGTTTCTGTGAGGGCTAAAAGATGGGGTTTCTTATCAGCCACTAACTGTTTGACTTCCAGCACCTTGTTTGAGATGCTGAGACAGTTAGTGGAGATGCACTTCAGAGCCCACTCACCAGAAATTTCAGTAGAAACAGGGTTAGAGGAGGGATCATAAATAGGGGCTCGAATTTGGGTATCTGGTTTGTAATAAGTGGTCTGTGGACACGGTCCGGATTGTGGACCATTCTGCGGCGTGATTGCCTTGACCTGTTGAAGAGGTAGGGAGGACGAGTAGGATGGGACACGGCAGGGTGTTTCTGAAAATAGACAGATGACAGATAGTCTAGGCCTGGGTCAAGCTGCCATAGGTTAGTATGGATGACCCCAATCCTGACCATTGACACCTGACGGAATTGTCATAAAATGTTAAGTGTTGGTACCTGCTAGATTCACAGAAAATACCTAATAGAAAACACCTTTCTCTAGCATACATTCACATCTGTAACGTCAAACATTACCGGCTAGCTTCTTNCTTCTCAGTAGGCCGTTTTTGGGTAGACTGTTCTCCAAAACTCATCCAGTGCGGTCTTGAATGCCACTACTGTGCTGCATCTAACCACGTGTTATGGCAGCCTGTTCCACAGTGGGATCACCCTGTTGGTGAAAAATCTTGCCCGGAGTTGCAGCCTGCTGTGATGACGCTGTAGTCTGAACCTGTGTCACCTGGTGCCACTTTCTGGGATGGCAGAGAATAGTTCCTCGCTTTTGATGCCCGACAGACCGTTCATTATCTTGAACATTTCAATTAAGCCACCCCTCATGCGTCTGCGTCGAAGAGAAAACAAGTTTAAGTCCGTAAGTCTGTCCTCGTAATTCTTGTGGTTCTGACTACATTCCATTCGGATGGCTAGCCGTTGGA